ATATATATATGTGTGTGTGTGTGTGTATATCAATATCAATCGGAGGAGGGGGCACAGGTGAGAAGGGTGGGGGCAGAAAGTGGAGGTGAAAGCAGACGGCAGAACATGGTTAGAGAGAAAGAAAGGAGGCGAAAGGAAAACATTTTAGAGAAGAAAATGTTCCGTCGCTGTCAGGTTTCAAACCTGGGGCTTATGGAAGGAGAGGAAAGCACCATAACCTCTAGACCACAACAGCCCCCTTACAAACCCATGTGCATAATATATATACTCTCGCTCTCTCTCTCTCTCTCTCTCTCTCTCTCTCTCTCTCTCTCTCTCTCTCTCTCTCTTTCTCGCCCGCTATCTCTTTCTCATCCTTTGTATATCCGTCTCTTCTGCGCTTCTTGGAAAAGTTAATCTATGAGTATTATTTTGTTTAACCATTAAATCAGAATACAAATTCACAACAAGCAAACGCGAGTTCTCACCTGCAGTCTCAGTCCCTGTGCTGAAAAGATCATATCTGAAAAACAATAAAGGCATGTGAACAGATAGACGTGAGACAAAACTCCACTGGCAATCTGTAAACTACAAAAATTTGTGTACAAATATATAGTTTCTCCAAGTCCCCAACTAACTATAATACTTCTATGGCTTTTCATTTCAGTCGTGTTTGATTATAGCAAAATGCGAAATAGCGAAAGCCTGAATTTCGTATGATTTATTGAGTTATCTGTGATCGACTAAAAAAATACAACTTAGATTTTTGGAGATATTATTGTCCCTCTGCTACTTGTGGGAAAGACGTGAAATTCAGGCAAATCTGTTTAAAGGAAATATGATGAAAAAGCATTTGTTCCGTGTAACCTGTGCGGCGGGAGAAGAGGGTATGATGATACTACAGTGGGCGTATATTTGTTGGGGTTTTTGTTGTTGTTTTTTAATATTATTTTTTAAATTAAAGATAAGTCTTTTACGGCGTTCGCAACTGCATACGGTCATACAAGCGCGCGGGACACACTAAACATTTTCAGTTGGTATGAAATTTTGAATTTTGCCCGGGTGGCGGCCGAAGCCCTTTCTTATCGATTTTAGACCACCAAGGGGTCTTTAACGTGTGTGACTTGCACACGGGACCTCCGAGATTTTTCACCCTTGTCCGAGACGGCTAGGTGTAGATCTTTCCTACCAGAAGAACAGGGGTGTGGCTGAAAGACAGCAGTAAGAAGGAACCAAGGAGTAGCAGTAGAAAGGCTGCAGAAAGAGGAGGTGGCAAAGGAGGGGAGGGGGGGGGGGGGGCAGAACGTAGAGAGCAGGAACGGAGGTGAAAGGAGCCAATTTTAGAGAAGAAAATGTTTCCGTCGCTATAATATTTATTTGTTTGTTTGAGCTTTCATTTCGTGTTGTCTTTAGGCGGGAGTTGACTGACCCTGTCCAAAGCAGTGCCAGGTCGTAGTTCAGTGTACTGAGGGAGCCTTCTGTTTCCAGCCACGAATCAAATGAATTTAGAGCATCCTTTGTGGAGACATAAGTATTACTCTGGATGATGGAGGACGCAAAAACGTCTTCGTTGGTCTGTGGAAATAAATGGTAGAGTGAAACAATTTGATAGTTACAGATGATTCTATTAATTACCAGTTGAAATTGACACAAACAATATTATTAGACTACATGTATTAATTTCACAAGGGACCCGGTGGATCTGGTGGGCGGTTTGCAGGTTTTGGCAATTTAAAAGATTTAGCCGATCAGAACTCTGAATGTGTATCGACGACTGGAACAAGGGACAGCGGAAATGCTTTTAAAAGGTTGCTTTCTTTTGGGTCCCGGCCCATTGTGTTTATTGTATCACCCCAATTCCTACCTGAACCCCACCCCCTCCCTTGCCAGTACGAATGCCACCGCCTTTGCGGACTCGGGGCAGGAGAGGGGGGTGGCAGGGGTTGCCACTGTGTTGCCCCTTTGGCAATGAACGTTTCAAATTGTGTTGCAAGTATTTCTTTTGATCCACAGGACTATGCTTCATAGCAGATGATCTTGCTTACTGAATCAAGTCAAGAGAGTGAACTCCAATCTCCTATTGTTTAACCTTAACGGGTAGGTACATCTGAGGTGCTGTACATATTTTTTTTTACAGTGGGCATATTTACAAGGAAGGGGGCAGCATTGTCCTTGAACAGGGCTATCAGATATTTGAATTCTGTAATTTCTTACTTTTCCAGTTTTTGCCTTTAGTTCTCTTTTCAGACAACGTATGTTTTGTTTCCCCTTCTCTTTCTTAGGGTTGCTGCAGAACATCTCTTTTCCAGCTCAGTCTGTGACTGTACATGTAACAGGCCTTCAACGAATGCCCAATTGTTGGGGTGAGGGTTGCGCAGTGTCCGGTGGAAATTGTCATGAAGCGTCTCACAAGCATTTGCTGTTGTGATGACAAGCATTCTAGTACACAAGTGTGGAGGCAAAATCTGCATGCTTCCTTTTAATTTCTCAGAGTAAAAATCTGCTGCATGTGAGTTTGGTTTTACCGGCATAATGGTAAATGCGACACAATACCCCCACGGTATCAGTGGTCATTGCTTGAAAGGCAAAATGCAATTTGAGCCACTTTCCAGGCCCCGAGTCTGCACCTTTGTAAGCTCATGTAAGGCCCAGTGATTTCCTGATCAAACATAAATTTAGATGACTCAAATGAAGCATAACAAAAGTTATTTAACATAGTTAAATTAAATACAACAAAGAAATGAATCTTGTGTTTGTAGACAAGGCATAAGGGTTTGATAGTGTGGATAGAAATAAACTGTGGCAAACAATTGAAGAGTACAGCATTAGGGGACAACTGTTGGACAACATCAGAGCCATCTATACCAACAATATGAGCACAGTCTGCGCCCAAAACGGACTCACTGACTGGTTCGACGTGTCATCTGGAGTGAGACAAGGGTGTGTGTTATCACCGCTACTATTCATAATATACATGGACTAAATTACAAAAGAAGCAAAGCCCAACCCGATAGACCTGAATGAGATGCTGTTTACGGACGCTCAAAGCCTGACATATGAGAAAGAGGCTGAATACACAATGTCAAAAGCTCAACATGAAGATCAGTAAAAGCAAAATGAGACAATGAAAATCAACAGAACACCTGGCAACCTTAACATCAGTATCGACGGAAATCCGCTGAAACAAGTCACCGAGTTCAAGTATCTTGGTAGCATCTTTTCGGAAGACGGACGTCTCAACAGAGAAATTTAGACGAGAGTAAAAAAGCGTGACAGCGTCAGCTACCAGCTTGCCCCACTCCTCAAACATCCTAAAATCCAAAGCCAAGCTCATTAACTCTATCTTCATCCCCACCTTGACCTACCAGTGCCAGACATGGATCCTGACCAAAAGTCAGGAACGTAAGATAACCCCCACGCGAGCTGAGAGGTCTAAGGAGAGCCGTCAACAAAACCAGACGCGACATGGTTACAGAACAACAAGATCAGAGAAATGATGGGAACAACACCTGTCCTCCACTACATTCGAAGGCAAACAATCAGGAAGTTTGGACATCTTACACGTACGGCACCTCACGAGCTTAAAGCCTACTTCAGAAAAGTATCAGGGTACAAGGCAAGAGGAAGACCAAGAAAGACCAGGATCCAGGGTGTGAAGGGTACCCTGAGAACTTACAATATGCCACCCTGCCAGACCATCAAACTTGCCAGAGACAGGGAGCTCTTTCTCCCCTCGACGCCCTAGAGGAACAAGATGACGGACAAAGTAAAGTAAGTATGTCTAATTAAATTTAACATAGAAAGTTCAAACATCAAAATAGAGAAGGCTAATGTAACATTAGGAAGCTCAAATATCCAAATAGCGCGATGGAATGTAACAATGGAGAGTTCAAATTCAACCTTGTCTGTTCAAATTCAACATAATAGCCTATTTCAACTACGGTACAATAGGTTGTTTGACATGGCCTTGAGCACGTATCCGTCCCCCTCCCCCCTTCTCTCTCTCTCTCTCTCTCTCTCTCTCTCTCTCTCTCTCTCTCTCTCTCTCTCTCTCTCTCTCTCTCTCTTTCTCTCTTTCTCTCTTTCTTTCTTTCTCTCTCTCTCTCTCTCTCTCTCTCTCTCTCTCTCTCTCTCTCACACACACACACACACACACACACACACATGTATGCATTAAATGTGCTCAAAGTAGAAGCACAACTTGACCGATAGTTGAGAGGTACATAATCTGGCAGGGCCGTCTCAAGACCTATTTATTTTGTCGAAAGTGTATTCTGGGGGACTTTTGACTATTGAAACCAGTTCATCTTTCATTTCCATGGTTACTTTCCCAAATCATTTCCTAGCTCATAGCCTATTTTTTTTTTTTCGACAACGTTTTCAGTTTCCATCGCTCGAAGTACGGCATTGATTTGTAACTGTTCTCGTATACCGGTATTCTTCTTTGTTTATCCTTGAGATTGACTATTTATATTTTGGAAGTTGCTATCCTCACCAGGGGTGAGAACTGCCTGCGTCTAGTTATTCTCACCCCCCCCCCCCCCCAATCATGAATGGCTCTATTACACTTGGGTTGAGCTTTGGCTATCCAGTCTCAAGCTGGGGTGTAAAAGATGGGGAAAGCTGGAGATGTAGGCCTAATTTTGTCTCTACAAATTTTAAAGACTTAATGTTCAAGTGGTCACACAGCCCTGGATAGGCTCGCGCCTCTGAATGTGCCCATCAGCCTAATGATTGTTGATGATTGGGTAGATGTTTTACGGCACTATCGACACAATTTTGGTCATTTAAGCGCCATCAGGTTTCACCGCTACAAAATCAGATGTGTTTTTAATAAAGAGTCTTTCGGAGCTCGCAACCGCAAAGATCACACTATTTCTATTATGCTAAAAAGACATTTATTTTTTAAAAAAATTTTAAATTACGGAAAAGGCTTATTTACATTTGTATATACAATACAAATTTCAGTGTATGTATATATACACCGTATGTATATATATACACCGACAACGACAATTATATATTTTCACATTTTATTAAACAGTCCAATTTCTTTTATATAATTTAAAATTCTTCTAGGCTCTATGATGTCAAAAAGGGTCTTAACATCTTTACATTTAAAATATTTCCCACGGACATAATTAAAGTCGACACATTTCATTAGGATGTGCCGAACTGTGAAACTTGTGTTGCACGCCACGCAAAAAGGAGCTTCCTCTCCTTCGAGCAAATGTTTGTGCGTGACGTGCGTGTGTCCTATCCTTAGTCGGGTAAAAATTACTTTTTTTCTTCGTGGTTTTCTAGGAGTAAGTTTCGGTTGAATGTAATGGAGTTTGTTGTGTATTTGTTGATTCCAAATTTGGGACCAGGAGGATGTGACGTGTTCTTTTACTTTTGGTTTCATGTCAGAGAAAGGGATTTTATTATTTTTGTTTTCAGGTAGTTTTAGAGATTCTTTGGCAAATTGATCAACGGCTTCGTTGCCATCAATGCCTACATGGCTTGGAAGCCAAGCCATTGTAATAGTTTTTCCAGACTGATGCAGAAAATGCAGTTTAATGATAAGTTTCAAAATTCTGTTGTCGGAGGTGTCAGAGCGCTCTAAAGATTTCAGACAAGAGAGAGAGTCTGAAAGGATTAGGAAGGTAGACTTGGTTGATTGATCTATAATATTTAGGGCCATTTCAAGAGCTGTAGCCTCAGCAGTGTAGACTGAAGCTTCTGGGTGGAGTTTCCTTAAGCTTAAGCTGTATGGCGATGCAAGGGCAGTAGCTCCTACTGAGGAGTCATTTTTGGATCCGTCTGTAAAGAGTTTCTCTGCTTCAGGGTATCTATTTATTAGCTGTTTGTATGAGTTTAAGTATGTAGTTTTGTCTGTGGACTTTTTGTTGTGTTTTTCAAGACTAGTATCTATGTTTGGTTTGGTTAAATGCCATGGAGGTATGCTGGACATGGCAAAGGGCTCGATTATGGCTTCAGAAAAATCAATGTCTTTGAGATCGTTCTGGATTCTTATTCCGAAAGGGCTTACTTTATTTCCTGAGGAGGATAGAGTTTTTAGGTCTTCGGGAAGGCCAAAGACACATTTGTGGGCTGGGTTTTGGGGTACTGAGCTAAGTTTCAAAGCGTACTGCAAAGAGAGTTTTTTTCTTCTAAGTTCCAAAGATGGTTCATGCGCTTCTGCCTGTAAACTTTCTACAGGTGAAGTACGGAAAGCGCCTAGGGCAAGGCGAAGGCCTTGGTTCTGAACAGGGTCTAGAATTTTAAGGTAAGACTTTCTGGCTGATCCATAAACAGGACTGGCATAGTCCAGCCTGGAACAGACAAGGGAACGGTAAAGTTGAAGAAGTATTTCATTATCTCCTCCCCATTCAGGATTGGATAATACTTTTAAGGCGTTGAGAGCACTCTGGCATCTCGTCTTTAGGTCTTTCAAGTGTGGTAGGAAAGAAAGTTTATTGTCGAAGATTACGCCCAGGAAACGAGCTCGTTTTTTAACAGGAATTTTCTCTCCAAACAAATATAAATCTGGTTGTCGCACACCAGACAAAATGTACCAAGTTTGTTTTTATTGT